TAATTCCTTAAAAAGTACTAACCTGTTTTCTGAACTAGATGTAGAAGTACTAGATGATGACAATGTATGAGAATTTGACATGCGTGAAACAAACTTCTGGATGGTGTTACGAGATGGAGCTTTGATCCTTGAGCTACGCCTACTGTGATATTTCTGGAACAAACTTTCAACCTAACATTGAAAAAAGACAGTAACAATGATATTCGCACTATAATATACAGATAAAGAGTTCTAGAGATTGAATTGTCTTTTATTTCATAAAATTTTCATAAAGCCAATTTAAGAGCTTCAAAAATAAGAATATATATAGCTTACTAAGATTTACAGCAGGTCAGTGTTTACTTTCTTTTCAATCTGGAAGAAAAAACTAATCAGTCAATGGATTATAAGAGATAAGCCTCAAATAATTCTTAAATATCTTCACAGCTTCAAAATGACCACTGTCTATTTAGAGCTCATGGAAAATTGTCAGGAATGAGCCATAAAAATTTGTTAGCAATTTTACTCTAAAGCATTTATTAAAAATTACCTCAAAATTCTTTAAAGTTTTTCTCCATAACATTGGGTCTGAAGGTTCTAGTTGAAATACCCGGAGCATAACAAACAACAGATGAATACAAAATGTTCCACGCCCACAGCTGCAGTTCTAAAGAGTTAAAAGAGAACCTATTGGTAATAAATCTGTGGTTCTATTGGAATTCCTAAGATCACTTTTTTTATATTTCCAAGTTTAACGAAGTTTCTATTAATTTTCTTCATTCTTCTTTTTTTTTTTTAAAGATTTTATTTATTTATTTGACAGAGAGAGCGAGCGAGAGCAGGAACACAAGCACGGGGAGTGGGAGAGGGAGAAGCAGGCTTCCTGGTGAGCAGGGAGCCCGATGTGGGGCTCAATCCCAGGACCCTGGGATCATGACCTGAGCCAAAGGCAGACGCTTAACGACTGAGCCACCCAGGCACCCTGCTTCATTATTCTTATATAGTAAGATATATAAGGATATGTAAGAAAAGTCTACACTATGACTTAATCTCTTATTTTTGGTGAATTTATTAAATCAAATTTGTATTCTAAAGTATACTGAGTCATACTAGAGACGTTCACAAATACATTAAATAAAAATGTTTACTAGCACAAAATATATTTTAAATTCACTTTAGTTAACTAAAGAGAATTAACTGATCTAAATTTAAGAATGTTATAGTACATACATTTGAGTTAGTACTAGATACTAATAAAATGTAAAATGGTGAAAAATCCTACCTGAGGCCCGATAAACACCCGGTATTTATTGTCTGGGCTGTCTCCTCCAATCAGGAAAGAGTTGGGTCCTATTTGTTGCAGTAAGTACAGCCTGGCCCGCATAACTTTGTTTACACGGCGGTTTGTCTCCTCAGGGCTATATGGTGAGAAGCCATCTGGTGAAGGGGCTCTTCGAGGTGGTGTGATTCGCCCACTCTGAAACTTTACAGCATTGTTTTTCTATTAGGTAAATTGCTTACTTCTTGATAAGAAACATCTACCTAAAAAAGGGTCACACCAGATGGCCATGTGGCATTTTATATTCTGAAAAAATGCCCCAAAATAAGATGGGATAAAATGCATTTTGCAAATGCTTTTTATCTGACATATGCATCACAAGTAAACTTCTAAAATCTCAGTCATCCTTAAAACTAATGATAAACATTTGGCTGAGTGAGACAACCGTGTGGTAATTTTACAAAATGAAAATATTTGAGTTCTTTGAAAAGTACTATGTAAACCAAGGTTAAAAGCATAAAAATTCATCCATAAGCAAGCAAAATGATTTGTTTCTAGTGATAAAAATTAAACATCCAATTTCCTGGCTTCCACTTAATGTGTTACTAAATGCTCTTTTGCAATGGTAATTTATAAACACCACCATGGAATTCCTCCCATGGTACACTCTGTAGAGAACTAATGGCAAGTGACTTTCCCCAGATTAAGACATTTTACTGAAGGCTGACAAAATCTCCTGTGGTGAAGGTGATATATATCACTCATTCCACTCCACTGATTCCTCTAGAACTTGGTCTTTCTATATCAATGCCCAGTGGAAATTCTAGTTCTTTTGATGCCTGGTTTAATTGTTAAAGATAATAAATGTTGGTGAGAACATGAAGGATTAGAACCCTCATACAGTGCTGGTGGGAAAATAAAATGGTACAGCTGCTTTGGAAAACATGAGCCAGCAATTCCACTTCCAGGTATAAACCCAAGAGAAGTGAAAGATATGTACACAAACAGATTCGTATGCAAATGTTCCCAACAGGATTATTCATAATAACCAAAGAGTGGAAACAACCCAAACATCCATCAACTAACAAATGGATAAACCAAATGTGTATATCCATACAAAAGAATGCTATTCTATAATTAAAAATGGAGTACTTCCAAAAAGAATTACAGAGAATTGGGTCAATCGGAAATTAATTTTGAATGTTAAACAAACAAAAAAACCACAAGAATGATACTGCATAGCTAATATTTTTGTTAAGATATATACGTACATGGCAAAAATCAATGCATACATTGATAAACATATTTTGTGGGGGAAAAAACCCCAGAAAAACCAAGCAAAAACAAATGGGGTACTGATACAAGTTATACCATGGATGAACCTCGAAAACATAATGGTAGGTGAAAGAAACCAGTAACAAAACACCACATATACTGCATGATTCCATTTACTATTTATGAAATAACCAGAATAGGCAAATTATATATAGACTAAGAAAGCAGATTAATGGTTGCTGAGGGCTGGGCAGAGACTGCTAATTGGTCTGGGGTTTCTTTTTGAGGTGATGAAAATGTTTTAAAAGTTGACTGTAGTGATGGCTACAACTCTGAATAGACCAAAACCCAATGAATAGTACAATTTAAACAGGTGAATTGTACAGTATAGGAATTATATCTCAATCCGGCCATTTTTTTTAATAGGCAGTTATTAAAAAGTAAAAGAAAAAACAAGTATACATGTACATGTTATATGACCTAAGTATTCACTTCAGACTATGGATATGCTCACAGATGTGTAAAATGATGTATGTATAAAAAGTATGTTTGCAAGACTGCTTTTTGGTAATGAAAAGAAGGAATATACATGTCCCCATTAGTATGCAGTTCATTAAATAAACTGTGATTTATCCAGATAATGAAATGTTAACTTGGTGTTAAAAAAAAATGAGGGGTAACTTTGACTAACATATACCCTAAAGTGGGGGAGTGAAGGGGAAACTCAATTCTGTATATACTTGTGGTAGACTTTTATACTTTGATGGCTCCTATAAACCATACCTCCCAGTATTTATATCCTGTGTAGTCCCCCACCACACTGATTCTGGATATGCAACTAGCATGTAACTACCTTTGGGCAATAAGGCATTAGGAAACAAGGTAGCTTGATAAAAACTTCCACACTGGACTTGCCCTCTTGATATATCTTTTTTTGGCTTAGTAGAAATTTCTCTCATAGATCCAGAGGCTAGAAGTCCAAGAACAGGTGTCAGCAGGGTCCCCTCTGAGGACAGAGACAAAGAATCTGTTCCATGCTCTCTCCCAGCTTGCAAAACTTGGTGTTGCAACCCAACTTCCACAGTATGAGGAAGAGATGTCAACAGCCTCCAACTGTTCTGGCATCCCAGCTGAAGCACCAGACACATGAGTAAGGAAGCATCTTGGATATTCCAGCTTTAGCAGATACCATGGGGAACAGACATAAGTCATTCCTGCTGAGCCCCACCTAATTTGCAGATTCATGAGCAATAACAAGATTGTTCTTGTTTTAAGTTTAAAAAAAATAGCTCATTTAAAGATGTGTCAACATAAAGCCAATAAATACTGTTGGGTATCTTGGGCTTTAATGTAAAAAAAATTTACTTAAAATTTACTTCTGGAAGGATTTATATGCTGATCAAAGGAAAACCAAATCTCACCCTGTGGTCATGATCTTAGTCATTCTACCACCCACTCATTTGCTCTTTGCTCTTCAAGTTTAGAAAGTAAATTTTAACTTGCATTTCTGCCACTAGAAGTCTTACTCTCTCTCAGAAAGATAGTACCTATCATTTTGCAAATTTCTCTGATGTCTGATTTAATACAGAAGACAGCTGGATTCTCATCCATGTCTCTGCATTGAGTCTACTGTGATAATGAGGTTTTGGTTAAAGTACATGAAGAAAATGTGGCTTCACAAATATATGCAGCTGGAAAAGGTATTTTAAAAGACTCTTCCAATAATTGTGAACACTCTTCTTTGATACTAGTCCCAAGAAGACTGTGATATGGAATCTGAAACCACATCAACAAACTTTTCCTACTGTTACACATGAAAATCCAGATGGTCTATCTTACACAATGTGAATGGATCATTTACCTAAGGATGATTTTGTTTCATCATGCACTGGCCATTGGGAAAATATTGGTTCACCAAGTTATGCAGATCTCCTAAATGTTTACACATTTCACTGTGCAATACATTAAAAAAAAAATCACATTTGATAACATCACTGATCTCGTTAGAAAATTCAAGTATCGGGAAACTGTCAAGTTTACAGTGGTGGATATGAGTTTCCCAAAATTCTAATCTCACTGGTGAAAAAAACATTTCACTTGTCTTTCTTGAAGTTCCTTCCTTCACTTAACTCATCTTAAGGAAAATGTCTGCCAAAAATACCCCAATTTCTGTTGTCATAGCTTTAATTTAGGTGCGCTTTACCCTAAAGCTTTATATTTACCCACCACTGTAAATGTTAATGCAGTGAAAGAGGCAAATAACATCCAGTTTTATTACAAAACTTATTTTGATCTAATGGATCTACAGAAGGGGTCTCAGGACCTGCTCTCTTCCCCCAACCAAGGGTCTGTGGACCACACTTGGAGAAATGCTGCTCTAACAGATGGCTAGCCAATCTTTCCTGTGTTATAAATGTACCTAAAAATTGTAGAAACTTAACATACTTGTTGAAACATTAACTTACAGGCACTGGGGAAACTCTTTTTCTCCGAACTCCTGGAGATTCTGACTTCACTGAGCGACCTGATGGGGAGCTGCCAGGAGAAGGACTGCGTCGGCCTTTGGGAACGGGTGACGCGGGGCTCACCTGGCCCTCTCCTTGAGACTCAGTTGCCAAGTTGTGAATTTCAGAACCATCTCCTTTAATAGGGATTGGTTTTACCACCTAAATTAAAATCCCAACATTCTGATTACTTAAAAATAGAAAAAGTAAGTACATTTGAATACATCAGACCAAGAAATGAACTCAAGTTTTCATTATACAATATTATACAAACATAACAATTTATCAACTTTTATTTAGTATTACTTCAAATGATAAATGTTAAGACTATTTTTACCCCACAGATGTCATTCATTTAGGCTTTATCACTAAATTGTTACACATAATTTTAGAATTTAGTATTATCTGTTATTATGTGCCCTAAATCACTTAACATTCAAAATCAATAATCACAGGTTAATAAACAAATGTGCAAAATAAGCACTTTTACATTCAACTAGATTCAAGGAGATATTTTCTTTTTCATTTCTATTGAGAAAATACATGATCTTGAAAACAATAATGGGCATAATTTAAATGCCCAAATAGTCTGATTAATATAAAACCATTGTCTTTTTTTTTGCAATGTTTTATTACAGTAGCTTTAGACATGTATTTCAGAATCACCAATAGAAGCTACATATTTGAAGAGCAATCTCTTAAGCAGAAAGGCAGGTTGCAAGACCTGTTATTTCTCAGCAGACCTAATCTAGCTCTGACCAAAAGGTCAAACCCTGTAGCCTTACCTAACCTTCCCTGCCTTTCTCCCACTACTCTTCTACTGTTCTGCTAGCCAGCTGCTGTGCCTATCAAACATGACTAACCTGTCGTCTTACTGGGCTTTCACTCCCCCTCCCCCCACTCCACATCTTCAGCCTGCAGCGCACCAGACAGCATACCTTCACCTGGTGAAAAACCCCTATCTTTTAAGGCTCGGTTAAAATCCTATGTTTTACAAACGCCCTTAACTCTATCAGCCTGACATTTTTCTTTTTAAATTGTTACTGCTCTCTGCCTACTCCACACATTTGGCATACAGTCACAAACTGTTCTGTGGTATTTCATGCCTTTATTTTTATTTATAAGTTGCATTTTCTTAATTGGAGATGTTTATACCTCACGTTTCAAGAAGGACCTGATTTAATTTACATAAAACATAAAAACAAACAAAAGCAGACTTTCCAAGTAGACTATAAACTTAAGGGTAGTATGAAATCTGTAAACTATGAGATATAGGGTAGCATAACTGAACTTAAGGACTACATGTTGTCTTATTCCACACATCTCTTCCCTCTTTACCTGTGTCCTATATACAGATAATGTACTTGAGAAAAAAAAGAATTTGGCCTTAGATAACTGAATGTCCTAGTTTATATGTAATAAAGGATTGGCTTTATTGGCTTCTTTTCAAAAAGTTATGATTTCTGCTTTACGGTATTCTCAAAAGATTTGGACTCTCCACCAGTATAAGGAGCTCAAGAAAGCAGCACATCCACACTTCAGATGGTTTAAACTGCTCAAAGGTTCTTTATATTAACTGGGCAAAAATGTACCCCCTTCTATAAGATGTTTCAAAAGAACTTCCTCTTTTCTAAGATGAATTCCTGATTTCTTCATCTGCATCCTCTGACATGATTACTAAAACGGTCAGGGGTTCTCACTAAACTACTTCATATGAAAAACAAATGGAAGAAATGTGGAAGCTTAGCTGGAAAGGAAAGGACTCATGGGTAATATAGCAGCTTAGCTTAAAAACCTGGTATATAAAGGAGCAATTAAATATATTCTATATTAGCTCCATGGGTTAGCACCATTGGGTAGAATGTGCAAGACAGAATGCAGCTCAATGAGGGAAGTCTATGTGGCTTTTGAGCATTGGAAACATGGCTAATGTGGCTGAGGAACAAAATTTTTACTTATTCACATTTAATTAATTTATACTTGAAAAATAGGCAAGTGGGGGACACCTGGCTGGCTCAGTTGGTTAAGCGTCCCACTCTTGATTTCAGCTCAGTATGATCTCAGGGTTTTGAGATCGAACCCCATGTCGGGCTCTGGCACTGGGCATGAAGCCTGTTTAAGATTCTCTCTCCCTCTCCCTCTGCTCCTCCCACCCCCTTTCTCTCCCTCTCTTAAAAAAAAAAAAAAAAAAAGGCAAGTGGGATGCATGTAGGGCTAGATGATCATACAGCTGAAGGGTTTCAATTGTCGAATGAGTAGCTTGCCCAATAACTTTTATGATTATACCCACCATCCCTTGCCCTCCCCCAAGCCTAATAAATCTTAACTTGTCATCTTTACTTATAAAGAACAAACAAAAAGCAAATAAAAACTTGCTGATACAGACTGATACTGGGACACTTAATTAACAATTGAGATCTACTTCCTTTATTAGAAAGACAAGCACATTTCATAGTATTTGTCTACTTTAAAAGCAAATAACCATGGCAAAGGATAGAGTATGCCTTTCTTTCCTAATTCTATCAATCTAGGTTTTCTTTCCCCAAACTCTGGGCATCTTTTAAATTTACCTCAAACCCCATGAGTCTATTCAACCTTTCTGCTTTCCTGGATGATTTCTGGAACTCAGATCTTTGGATCCTACCTTAGAGAAAGAATATCAAAATAAAATGAGAAAAAATGCTTTTCTTTTTTAAAGCACAATATAAATCTCTACTAAAAGGATTTTAGCTACTGACAGTAGGGGGCAGTGTTGCTTTAAGCATTACCTCCCCAACCCAACCAGTTTAGTTTCTATAACAGTTTAAGGTGCTTAGTGAGCATAGTTTTAGCTGTATTTTGTTCCAAGTGGCTAGAATATCAAGCAAATGAAACGACTGCATTCAAAATCAAGAAGAAAAAAAGCTTAAAAGAGGATCTATTTATGCTTCATTTCCCACTTCCTCCTATGCTTTCTTCCTTACATCAGGTAACCCACAGCCACTTACCACAGGGCCTCTCCTATTTCTCCTTTCCAGCCACTCGTGCTTCCAGGCTGGCATACAGGTTGCCTTCAGTTTCTCCCTGATCATTCGTTCTTCTGGGCGATCGTCCATCTTGTGCAACCCCTTGAGAGTTTCTTTACTGTCCATCTCACGACTAAAATGGGAGAAAGAAGAATGAGATTAATATATAAAAAATAATTTCTAAGAACAAATAGTATTTTATACTTTCATTGGACATGTAACTACAAAGGTAACTGCTAAAAACCCCCCAATGATTTAAGCCAAGTATGAAAGTATCACTGTGAATCACATATACACTAATGTTCAATGCCGCATGATAATGTGAGTTTAATAATGCCTTTAAAAAGAAAGGTTCTATTTAGAAGGTACAGACTTACTAATAATACTAATGCAGACCTTTGTTCCCAGGTAGTTAACAAAATGGATCCCAAGACATTAAGTATGGCATTAACGAACACATTCGTGAACATTGCACTGTTTCCAATTACACCATTCTCACGTCCTGAAGTATTTAACAGATATTTAGAAGAGTATTTTACTACTCTAGGATTTCCAATAATTTAAGGATTTCCAGGATTTCCAATAATTTATCCCAGCATTTTCAGTAATTTAAGTCACTATAGATTGAATCTGGTGGATATGCTCATTTTCTGAAAAAAAGCTAAATAAATATTTAATAAGCTAAGTGTAACCTCACCCATATTCTATGATCCCACAATATTTGTTCAAAGCCTAAATAATTAAATTTATATTCTCCCAACAATAATTCCACATCAAAGCACTGGGGATACTCTGTATATAAAAAGTAAAAATTGGTACAAACATCTGACCTTTACTCCATAATATAGTGTGGAGTTATCAGAATAAAATAATGTGGAAGCTAGTAACTTGAGAATTAATTCTACAAAGCCTAAATGGTAAAGCATCCACTAATTTCAAATACACTTATATCCACATATGGATATATACAACAAATACAAAATGCATATGCATGGATTTTAAAACCTGTTTCATAAGGAAATAGTTAACGCATTTGTACTCTGGGAGAAGTAACAATTTAAAAAATACTAAGCTAACTTCAATAACTATTTTGGACATTCTATAAAGCTACAGAACAGTTACTTTTTTTTTTACACAGATAGGAAAAGGAAATACTCAAGGAAATACCAGAGACGATAACCGCAAGCTTATAAAAAATTAAATGCAAACTCCTCTAGGAATTTTCCAGCTAATTACAACCATAGAGCATCAGTATCTTCAGAGAACCAGCAAAAAAAAAAAACTACTTAAAACTAAATATGCACTAGAAAGGAAATCGTTAATTGGATTTCCTGAAGCATCAATTCTGTGAGGGCAGTAGAAATGAACAAGTTAAATACCCCTGTGCAGAGAAACTGGTCTAGATAGTTTTAGGAATGCAAAAGAGCACAAAACATTTGAAACTTGCAAATGGGCATTAAGAGCATATAGAAGAATATTTCCGCCATACAGGTATAAGAAAACTGTCGAAAAGAAAGAGCCTATATGAAAAGAAAAAAGGTAAATAAAGAATGGAAGGAAGGAAGGAGATTCTTTTATTTACTTAGAAGTGCCTGGCTCTTTTTCCTGCTCTGATTATAGTATAAAATATAACTTTTTGGGTGTCTAAGAGGAAGAGTAGAGAGGGAGGGAGGAGTGGGAAAGGAAGAGAGGACAGAAAGGGGAAAGAAAGGGAGAGGGAAAAAAGAGAATGAGAGAGAGAAGGAGTTGGGCGGGGGAGGACAAAGGGAAGGACAAGAAGGGAGGGAGGGTAGAGAAATGTTCTCCCAAAACTTTATCCTGCTCAGTTACTACTTACCCAGGGAAGCTCGGATTTACAGGCAACCCAATTTATGGGCTGATTGCATACCAAAAATTCACTTACAACTCTCTGGTTTGAAAAGCAAACACTTTCCCCTCCAGTAAAAATGTTGCAAGGCGTGGCTAGGTTCCCAGGCTAGTTCTCAAAAAATAAGTCACACTGCAGAACTGCAGTGCATTTTCACCCTAGAAGCTCCTGCACTCCTGGACACAGGAGCTTATCCTCCCTTTGGTCTTAAATGTCTCTCCTCCC